GGCTGCACAGCGGGTGCTGAGCGGCTGTACAGCGGCTGCACAGCGGCTGCAGAGAGGCTGCACAGCGGCTCTTTATAAGCAGGCCAAAGTAATGCTAAGCTGTCTACGTCACTGGCAAAAAGGTGTAACATATGTGTCACACTAATGCACTGTAAGAACATGTTTCGTGATGCACTCCATCCCATGCAGAGGGGTGAAAACATCAACAGCGGCAATCGGCGACGGTCGCCGGAGAGTGCATCAAGAAAAGTTGCCGCGCGTCACGTGAATTTTTCCATTGATGATGTAATGCCCAGTTGGCAATCGACTCTGCTGCCGCCCTGCTCCTTCGAACGAGACGACCCTTCGATACCATCGATATGCAGCGCCACATCGATTCAGCCTGGCGGGTGGCCTGCCCGGGGCTCGCGCCTCGGCTCGGCTCGGCCCCGGCTCGCCTCGGCTCGGCACCGTCAGTGCACGGCGCTGCGCTGACCTACAAAGGGTTCACTGACGCGGCTCGCCACGCCACGCCGCGCCTGCAGCAGTAGCACGCTGCAAAAGGCTTCCTGGAGTGAGCAGGGCGGTGCAGGGCGATGCAGGGCGGAGCAGGGGCAGGCTGGTGCATGTGCACCGCCAGCCGGGTGCAGCACAGCCCAGCACGGCCTGCGCTACAATTGTAACAATGGAACAAGTTTTTACAAAAGATTTTGTGGACTTTGAAATCACTGTGAGAAACTATATCTTCGTAAAATTTTCAAACTTTGTCATAATTTTGATTTTTTTAAAAAGGATTTTGGTGAGCCTTTGCATTTCCCTTGCGGGATGCAGTGGACTCTCGCGTGCCAGTCATATGCAGGTAGGAGCACTGGCATATGACACTCAGGAAAAAATTTGGTCGGCATTCGTCACCTACACAGATAAGAAGAAAATATACCGAGTTTGGGCACGATCGGGTATTTACACTTTCCTAAGTCCCTTGTAAGCTCGTGGCGTACACCCACAGTACAACCAGAGTACACTCGCGGGAAAGTCGGGGTACTCGGAGTAGTCGGAGAGCAACCAAAGTACCCCCAGGAGTACACCCGCAGTACTGTGCAGTCCGTGACAGGGATCACATCGGTCATAGGGACTTCTCGTTCAGGCCTGGTTAGCTCGGTGCTGTGCTGTCACCGTGACTCAAAGTGATCCGAAGGTAAAGCCGAAGTCAGAGCTGGCTGTAAAGTGCATGCTGCTGTGGGCTCTTTCTGTTTGGAGCCAATGGCCACCTTCCAAACTAACGACAACATCACTTACTTACCGCACGCTTCAAAAATATATTTCTACATATTCGTAAAGTGATTTTTCAGGAATATTTGTTCCTTTGGTTTCTTTTGTTTTGCTCCTAATGTGCGACCCAATTTTAGAAAAATGCGCATTGTAACGTGCGGGGTCCTGCTGACGCCCTGCTGACGCCCAGTTCCGGAAGTCAGGCGGGCACGCGAGCGGTACGGCACACTAGCGGGCCGGTGCCGGTCCAGCGGAGGCAACGACAGGAGACAATGGCGGCGTAGAATTTAACCACTGACTGCCTGACCAGCCGAGCAAGCTCAAAAGATCCGCGGCACTTTATTCAAAAACACCAACGGTTGGTAAACCGTTAGTTTCTAAAATGCTAACAAAGAACATGTGCGTATAGCAAACTCTACTCTTTGTAGGTTACGAAGAAATTCTCAAGCATTGTATATTTCGAAATTTTACCAGGTAACGCAAACCAATAGCTTCTAAGGATTTTACTGATCTGAAAAAGGAATACTTCATGATACGAACAAATTCTACACAAAACAAAGCGACGCGTCATTCAAATAAATTGATGTTCCAAACCATCACGAAATAAAGCAACAAAAGCAAGCGTTTCTTAAACAAGAGAACTCCTGCGTAGTTGGTAAGCGTTCTACCTTGTACTTGATCTTAATCAAGTGTAGATGCACCGTTCCAAATGATTAAGACTTTCCTGGCTTATTCTTAAATAGCTTTATGAGAGTTCACTTTTCGAAATTGATATTGTGACTGCTTCACTTCTTTTTCCATCGCCGCGACACTTCAATAAAATCACACTAAATGTATTTGAATGTTTTTGTGCAAATGTTCACACTAAGTCAAACCTACGTTTCGTTTCGCACAAATTTGTACGACAAAGTGCATGATTTTCTACTAAATGAATAAACAAAAGGGTTCAAATCAGCGCAGAAATGTGTGCAACAAATTTGATTGTTTAAGCTTGTCCAAATAGAAGATACAAATCCACTTAGTGTGAAGATAAAAGGCTTTTTGATTACATTTTCTTTATTTCAACAATTAACGTTGGTAAGTTTTTGCGAATAAGAGGAGAGGAGAGGAGGAAAAACAGGAGGAGAAGGGGGAGGATGAGGAGGATGAGGAGAAGCAGGAGGAGGAGGAGGAGGAGAGAGAGAGAAGAGATGGCGGAGGAGGAGACTAGGAAAAGGCGCCGACTACTATACTTTGTTAAGTAACAGCCTCTCGACTCGATTCTCCCTCTATCTCCTCCCCCCTCGCTGCCCGAACAGCTGCAGCGCTTCTCTTCGACGCGGCGGCGGCAGCCGGCCCCCTCCCAGCAGACCGCCTGACAGGTAGGCGCGCCCGCCACACACCCGTGCGTCGGTGGGGAGGGGACTGCCTACCTCACAGGGGCGAAGGCCTGCTCGCCCCCCGTGGAATTGTCCCAATTGTGGACTCACTGTGGACCCCCTAGGATGAAATCCCCGCCGTGAATGTGTCTCTATCGACTTTGGTGTCCGCCTCACGTTTCCTTACCGTTAGGGCAGCCGGGCCGGAGAGACGGAGCGGGGCCAGGGCGGCCGCCGGGGCGAGGGAGCGCCAGGGCCTGAGGCTCCTCAGACCTGCGGGGAAAAAGCGCCACAGACTACAAACAAACAGGCACAAGAAAAGAAAAAAAACGAGTAAGACTCAAATAAATAAAATGAAGAACGTGCAAGAAAGAAATGTAATAACGAAAAAAAGGGCTTTAAATGAAATTGAGATAAATGGTTGAAGTATAGCACAAAGAAGCTGCACAAGAATCTCTGCTGTGCGAGAGGTAACAATCAACCGGGCTTTACAAACACTACCTTTATTTATACAGCTATAAGCAAAGATATATGCTTGAGTAGATACTTGTAAAAGAGTTTTTCTAACACTATAGTCCCGTCATATCAATAACTACAACAACGTCCAACGTTTTACTAAACTCACTACTTGCGGCCAGCTGTCACAGCTTCGCCCGCATCACCGTGCATCGCAGAGAAAACGCTCACCTGCAACAAAAAGAAGAAGAAAAAAAAAAGTTAATTAAGTAAAATTAAAAGACACACGACTAGTGAGTGACCAGTCCGTCGTATCACAACGTGACCGCGTCAATATTCGAACCGGTGACCTCTCGGGCGGGCGGCGTGCGCGCTGACCGCTCGGCTGCGGCGGGTCAGTGACCGGCGAGTCCCTTGTTGCTCAAGTGTGCCAGGGTCGCCCGCTTGCATCCTGTGCTCAGCGAGCGCCGCGCGCACCGCGCCTCACCTCACCTCGCGGAGCCGCGGCGCTCCACGCTGCTCCACGCCGCTCCAAGCCACGCCACGCCACGCCACAGAGCCCGCGCTCGCAGGCGGGCTCCAGCAGCAGGAGCCAGCAGGAGCCAGCAGGAGCGGCAGCAGGAGGCCTGCTAGCTTGCGCAGGGGCCAACGACCGGCTCCACTTCACTTTCTCTCTCTCGCGCAGCTGCTGGCCTGCGAACAGGCGCCGCGCATCGCTCCTGCCGCCGCTACGCCCACGGAGAGGTACCCCCGCTCCAAGGTATACCTCAACACGGACTTTACCGACCATACAGCCTTCACCCCGCCAAGAAGGAACGACTCAAATCTGTAAGCTTTTGGCTCGCAATGCTGGTGAAATGTTCGATGCAAACTAGGGTTCCTTCTCTTTTTCAGTTCATTTGAGCCTCACCGGCCGTTCGGTCAACAGAACAGCTTCGACGACGCTCTATATTGTCCAGCAAAGATGCGCTCCAAGCCCATCTCAACCGGGTACAACTTTGTCTCTAGAAAGCTCCAAACTTTGTACCTAACTTCAGTACAAACAATATTCGTTTGTTTTAAAAAAAATCTCGGATCGATTTAAATTTACACCCGATGAAAAGATGTGCTTAAGAACGCATCTCGCATCTCGGCTGGACACACAAAAAAATTGCCCTTCCTCATTTCGAGTCGACATCAACAATCTGTTATGGGGCGTCGTCCTCACGGATTCATATTTAAATATGTATCGCCGCGCCGCCGGACGAACGCCAGTAATGCCAACTTTCACTGCTCCGCCCACTGCCCCTACCCCCTCCCCACTTCCCCTGCAACACAGCACCAAAAAGGACGACCAAAGGACCTCTCATGGCGCCACCGGCGCGACGGTGCGGTGTTCCGTGGTCATGACCACTATACTGGTAGCTCCGTTGATGACAACGACAGCAACTTTTTTCACATGCGTCCGTCACAACAATATATATGCAAAGAGAAAGAGTTGAAGAGGAAAAAGAGAGTTTTTTTTTAGGAAGATGCGTACGACAAAGAGAGAGGGGAATTGGAGGGGGGCGGTAGAGGAGGTAAGGAGGAGAGTGGGCTGCGGATCATTTCCAGCTCCTAGTGCAGAGTCCATCACGAAGCAATCAATTATTTTAAATTACTCTGTATCGCGCGCGCGCGCGTGTGTGTGTGTGTGTGTGTGTGTGTGTACTGTACGCGCGCGCTGAAAGTAGAGAGAATTAATAATCTTGCAAACTGCCCCACCGCACCGAGAAGTCAGTCGGTCAGTCACTTTCGATCTCTCGCTCACTGTGCCACGCCCCGCCACGCCACAAAATGCCAAAGCACCGGCGTATCCAAGTCCTCGCTGCACCGAGTGCATTTACCACTTTTGATGGACGTGTCAGACCACAATCCGCCCCCTTGCCGCCCCCCCCCCCTGTGCCTCTGGGGTTTCACGAGCCATATTCCTGGCCGCGTCATTCCAAACGCACTTGCACTAAGTGATAGCTGCACCCCACCCTACCCGCTGGAAAATAAACCTCTCAAAACGATTTCCTTAAATGTCAATATCCCACTGATCAGTGATCACGTCTCATTTCCTCGACTTTGTTGTAAATATTTTCAAAGAGTTGCTTTCAAAAGAAAGAAACAAAATACAAATGAACACAAGTATTGCTTTTTCAAAACACACACCAACTCAATAATATAAGCCGAAAGAACATTTAACGGTGTAAGCTCTGCCCGTAACTTTATGACCCGTCACCGCGCTGAGCAGCCCCCGATACCAATATCAATACGAATACGACTTGCGGCTTATCGATTCCAATAGCAATATGTCGTCTGCGCGCTTGCCCAGGGCTGAGCTCAGGTGCTCCCTGTACCACCAAAAAACAAGTTGGAAGATTGTTTTTTCAAAGGCAAACTTGCTCAGTTTTTTAGGGCTCAGTAAATCAGTGTATTGAGTGTAGAAAAACATCACACCAAAAACCTGTAGCGTAAATAAATTATAATTGACTCCATCTCTACCGGTTTTGTATACCTCCTGCTAAACAACTGATTTATTTGTTGACAGTGCCTTTCTTTCTTTCGACGAGCTCAGGCACACAGCACCGGGGAGACCTTCACGCAACGTATGGTGCACATACTGGGCGCCAAATCCAACACGGGAGAGAGAGAAAGAGAGAGAGAGAGAGAGAGAGAGAGAGAGAGAGAGAGAGAGAGAGAGAGAGAGACGGGGATATAAATGCCACAGCGAGGCTGACACGCTGAACAATACGCCATTTTGCTTGTTCAAGTCGTGAAAAAAATCTAGGACAAACGCGTCAAAATTATAACAAGAAAAAACCTACATGTTCCGAGACGACTGCGTTCATGT